ATACAAAGTAAAGAGGATTGGTCCAAGCACTGAACCCTGAGGAACTCCATAACTAACTCTGGTGTAAAAAAGAAAAAAATTGTATAGGTCTTCTGGACGGGTTCTTCTCTAATGAAACGTTTCGTCTCTCCTCCAAGAGACTTCTTCAGTCTGAGAGTTTCAGGCAAAATTCAGGCTTTTAAGTCCTGCCTCCATGTGACTGATACTCACATCACATGGCTATCGTTGACAATTAACACCTATTGTTAACAGGGGGAGGAATGATACTGGCTATAGCCACACTATGGGAGGGGGATAGCTGAAAACGGAGGCCTCCACCTCTGTTTAATGATGGACGGTCTTTCTTCACAAAAATGGCTTCTTTTTCTCCTCTCTCAAACCAACGTTCCTCTCTATCAAGAATGAGAACATCCTCATCTCTGAAAGAGTGACCGCTGGCCTGTAAATGAGTGAATGACTGTAAACTTTTCAGCTTGTCACCAAAACATMCATTTCTTTCTTTGCATCTTTGAAAAAGACCAAAGAGAACTGTTGTAACAGACAGACATCTATTGTCACAGTTTGGCACCAATAAAGTGATTTCATAAGAGCAGCTAGCTGAAAACTTAGTTTTATCTTCATGGTGTGTGATGAGCCTTTAACTTATCAAGTAAACGAATGTCTGAATAAACAGATGTGTACTGTTTATCTGTTAAGTGGATAAACAGCATTTAAAAGTCATGTATTTAGGAAACAAATAAAAAAAAATGATGGAAAAACTGCCTTTAGACCAATTGATTGGTTGGATGGATGTTTAGTTTATTAATTGATTGTTTGGATTGTGAATTTGTTTGTTGGTTAAATGTTTGATTTGTTGGTTGGTTTGCTGAATAAATACAAGTTTGGTAAATTAATTGATTGGATGGTGGAAATGTCTGGTTGGTTGAATGTTTGAATAGTTGATTGGATTGCATTGTAGATTGATCTGTGAGATAATTAACTGGGTGAATAATTGATTAATTAATTGATTGATTGGCTGTTTGATTGATTGGATGTAGGGGCTATATTGTAGCAAATAATTACAATTTTACTGTGGTTTAGTCTGCATATTTCCTCCTGTGGGGTTTGCCCTCAGCATTCTCACATTGAAAAGTGCAGCACCACCTCACAATGGACTGAGCTTATTAATAGGCACTGGGTATGATTAATGATGTGAAAGTATATCAAGTATATAGTTTACATTTAATGTRATTCATTAATTTTAATAGATCACGTACACAGAAAACTAAATTAAACAAACTTTTAATGTTATAAACATTTTAAAAGGAATTTTATCTATGTATTTTGCCAATAATGCTTTATATTCAATTTGTAGTGTCACACTAGTTGCACAAAAATATGCATTTAAAATATTTTAAGATAAGAAATAACAGTTATCTATAACAGTTTTTCATTAAAACATAATTTGATGGCAGGTGAGATCGAACCCGCGGCACCGGGCTGTGCCTCACCCCGCAGACAAACACCGGGGTACCGGTTTTATGTGCCTCCCTACTTTCTGGCGGAGGGGGCGAGCGGACAGGGGGGTTGCAATTTGCCCCACGGCACGGATCAGAACAGGCTATTTTGAAAGTGAGCCCTCATTCAGACAGCTCCTCTGCAGCTGTCAGGAACCATGACTGAAGATGACGGAGTCTGTTGTTGTGGAGGGATACGCCAGACTCAGAGACGGTAAAAAGGTGCTAACTTTTATCTTTATTTACCGGCGGGGAACCTCTGAAGTGCTTACACGCACGTACACACACACACACACACACACACATTAGTGGTTGCTTATAAAAGTTTTGTTTTACTCTGTGTCACAGTGGAAAACTAGGTGGCTCGTGTTTCGGAAGCCGTCGCCTGTAGCAGGTAAGATGACATGGACCATCAGCGCCGATTGAGACTGATAACAAACATTAAATCACTCCGCCATTTTTTGGAAGCAAGCTAACAACAAGCCAACCTGTTTAGATTAGTTTCATTAGTTAGTAAAATATGTTTATTAACTATTGCTAAACATCACTAAAATTCTTGTATAAGGCGTTAAAGTTGATAAAAGACGAAATTATTCTAAAATTTTGGCAAACATGATTTAAAATGTATAAATTGTGTTGTGCTAATTTTGTTGGAGTAGATTTTCTAAAAAAAGTCAATTTTTTTTTAGTTAATCATAACTTAYGTTGATTTTACATTTTTGCTTCACAATAAAAATGTTACTGAACATGTACAAGTTTGAAGTTGGCATGCAAAGTTGAAATATTTCCTTATATTAAAACCTTTCTGCCTATTGTTTCACAGGCTTTAAACACTTGAATGATTGTCAACTGGTGGCCTGTGGGCCATACTTAGCACAGAAGCTTGTACTTATCGGCCAATCAGACATTAAATTATTAAAGGACCATCATTTCTCAAAAGAATGCTTTTTGCCAGACACTTTTCATGAATTTAGAGCTCTGYGAGTATTACCTGTGAGACTTTAACTTTGTTGAAAGTTTAAAAATGCTTACATTTATTAGCTGCCTCTTCTTTTCCTTCTTTAAATCAACTAAAGSGATATTKCTCAGCTTGTAGTTTATTCTTCATAATAATGTACGGCTAAATATACTCCACAGGTTGAGCTGATATACTCTTCAGATCTTTCAGGTCAATGTTGTTACAGCTGCCTGCGCTAATACCGCCTTTAGATGTGTGTGTGTGTGTGTGTGTGTGTGTGTGTGTGTGTGTGTGTGTGTGTGTGTGTGTGTGTGTGTGTG